CGGGTACGTTACCGTTCGAAAGAGACTCGCTATTGACATGAGCTGAAGGCATAACGCCGTTGCGCGATCGTGCAAGCTCATCCTCGTGGTCTCTAACCACGTCTTCAGCTTTCTTCCAGGCTTCAGTACCTTGTAGGCCAGGTATCTGCAGTAACTGTCGACAGAAGCCGGGCCATTCTCGGAAGCGAGAAAATAGTTGCATTAGGGCCTGCAGTCCAAATTTGTACATCGAATCCTCTGGCGAATAGTCTCTGACAGCCTCAAGAATCATGCCAAGACCAATCTTGAGCGGGAGATCCGAGATAAGCTTGTGGGAGATAATGCCGCCAAAAAGCACGGCGGTCGTTGCCAGTGCCTCTAAGGGATAATCAACATAATGAGCGTACTCATCGAACAGGCCGTGGATCATGCATGCGAACACGTCTTGATCTAAGGGATCGCGAGAATGTTTGTATCGATCTAGGACCTCGACAATGTTGCGGACTTGAATCTCGTCCCCGTACATCTTCTTGTAATGTTCTTCCATCTTACTATTGGCTCCGGTAGGCAAAGCGTTTCCGTCTTTGCCGTTGGCGTCGATGATATCGTCGAAGCCTTCGCCATAGTTGATCAGTCTCGGGTAGACAGTGATGCAAGATCTTTGCACCATAATGAGATCCTGCAAGGGAGTCTTGGGGAGAAAGTCCTCTAGAATTTGCAAAAAAGCAGCCACCGTTCTCACTTGAAGAGTAGTGCTAGATTTTACGGCAGCTTGGCCATCGGGGGGGCGCTGGAATTGTAATTCCAAGTTTGCCTTGATCAGCAAAAACTGGAGCAAAGACCGCGCAATCTCGTTGCTTCTCTCGGAGTTGAGTCGCGCCCAATTGACCAAGTCAAGATATCCTTCGGCATGAGCAAGCGCTGCGAGGTCGAGTCCAAAGCCATTTGATAGGTATACAAGCTCATCGAGCCACTTGTGTCTCAACGCATGCTCGAAAATCAAGGGGAGATCAGTTGGCTTGATTGCATGTGCCTCGATCAGCCGCTGAATCACCCACTCCTTGTCCTTCTTCCACAAGCTGTCGAGAACGAAATCATATTCCGTTGATCGTTTGTAGAGAAAGCTTTCGAAAAGTGAGTTCAGCGTATCGACTGCCATCGTCGGCCATGGTTTCGGCACTCCAAATGCGGAAACAACGAAAATGTCTAGGTTAGGCACCACGACTTCCTGGAACAGGCGCTTGGCTTCGACGCTTTGCGACGCGTGGACTGAGTGAAGGGCAACATGGAACACTGCCGACAATGCCTCAACAGACACCAACGCGTGCTTGGCCGCGAACGCCGCGCGTTGCTGGACCTCCGGGGCAGATTGCGCGTAGGTTTCCAATGTCAGCGTTGGAATCAACCCCGGGATTGTACTGGCGTCAAGCTGGTCCGGCTGAAGGGAGGCGAAGGCGCATATGAATGACAATTGGGTTTCGGGATGTTCCCAATTCCCACCCCATAGCTTCTGGATATCGAATGTTTGATCCTCTTCAGCGATCGGGAGCAACGCGTTGTATAGACGGAGAAATTGCCGGGAGGAGATTCGAGCGGATCGCTGATCGAAGTACGAAACGACGTCTTGCCACCTAAATGACGAAGGCAGAACTCGACGGAGGGCTGCCGCAAGAATCGATGGGTCATAACGGGGTGTCTGGCTGATAGTGCTGTAAGTCAGGGCGATTGATACCTGCTCTTCGCTAAGCTGAACATTCTGAGGCCGACTTTGCAGGTATGAGACGCAACTCTCATCGTCTCTAGTAAAGTCGCCGCCTGTTCTTTGGATATACGTTGCCAGAGCATTTGGAGGTTTATCGGCCAGCACTCTAACCAAATCAAGCGCGGCAAGCACTTCAGAAGGCGGCGGAGCCTGGTCTCCGTGCCACCTCGCCTGGACCTTGTAGGCTAGTTCGGATTTGGACGCGGCATTGAAGTTTGGTGGCTGATACTGAATGAAGCGATCGACGAGTACAGCGATGAAGGAATCGGTCAAATCCGCATGCTCTTCTAGTTCGCGCCGGGCAAGAATGTTCACGAAGGTCGGGAAATTCGTGGACAAGATGGCATCAGCTGGATTCGAGTGGTCAGCATGAGGAACAATTTTTCGCACGACAATAGGACAACCAACCCTTGGTCTTTAGGTCGGACCTTGATCCTGTCTTGAAGGCTAGCGCCAGTATCGTCTTTTCGAGAGCATCTAACTTGAATGCTTCCATGAATGTTGACATATCAAAGTCACGGAACAAGTCTTCTGTGCCGGTTTCGATTGACTCAGCAATCTTATTGGCTTGGTTGGCATCGTGAGATATCTTCTTCATCTCGGTCATGAGAAGGTGAAAATTGCCATTGGTCCCCGGCCGTGTATGTCCGTGGAAGATGTGGCCAGCATGGGCAGCGACGAGGCGCGCAAAATACTTCGCAAAGACCTCCATTCCGTGTTCATTGATGAGCTAAGGAAGATGTTTATGTGTCAGCAGTGATCAAGTGTCAGACCAGATTTGAGACAATTTGGTCACAAGTTCGACGTGGGTAGGAGGGCTACCTTTTGTAGTTGTTCTGCTTGTGTCTCCCACTTGGCGCGGTCCTTGTCCTCCTTGATGGCACCGAGGAGGAGATAAACTTGGGCGACAGCGATTTTGACCAGGGAATTTGGCCCTGTCGGACTACTTGTACTTGGACTTGCGCCTGCAGTCAACCCAGCGGATTGTGATGGATGGGGCAAGTGCCAGGCTCCTGTGTGCAGTGTCTGTGAAGGATGTGGAGAGAATGATCCCGACCTTGGTTGTGGGACCATGGGAGAGTATTGCGTATCGGGGGGGAAGAAGTTTGGAAGGAGGAGGAGTCCGTCCTGCAGCAAGACCAGACTAGACCAACTTCCTCGCTTGAGGCTTCTGTTATCGAGCCGCCAAAGTAAGCTATCTCGCGATCGACTACGCCCACATCAACGACGAGCACTTCCAGAACAGTAGATATGGCCGTCGGCGCGACGTGGCGGGCAGCAAATGTCGCAGATAATACGCGAGTGCGTCGAGAAAGAGAACTGGGCGGAGGCGAGGATGCGTAGGCCGTGTCTAGATCGTTGCTGATGCGATGGAAGGATTGAGCAAAGGAGGGGAGGGGACCTGGCACTTGAGCCAGGTCGACCGAGAGCGCAATCAAGATGCCCACCGATGTTCGGGCGGGGATCGATGAGCGGCTTCTGGAACGAGCTCGTTATTGCCAAAGGCTGAGGAGGAGGATGAGAGAGGGATGGAGAGAGGGATAGTTTGTAGAATATGCGACGTTGATCGATCGGGAACGTCTGTCGTGCGGTGCTTGACAGCTTCGCAAAAAGAAGAAGAAATTAGAGCCTGGACAGTTTGGAAGGTACGTGAGGACGTGGAGGCTTTGGTTGCCGGTAGGGGATTGGCCTGGACATGCACAAGGCGGAGAATGGACGGCACCTAAGGGAAAATGTGCCTTACCTAAGGTACCTGACCTCATGGGCGGAGGCACACCGTGGAGGGTAAGGAACCTGATGGCAGGAATCTACCTCCAGACAAGGGGGTACCTACCCTACCGGGCGAGCCAGAGAGGTACTTAAGGTAACGTACCTTAGGGTGCCTTAGGCAAGGTAACAGTCTGTGTGCACCTACACCGCCCCGAGCGGTCATACTTGAGGAGGCACCAAAGGCAGCCCAAGAGGTATCAGATAGCCCAACATGCGTTACCTAGGCACACTGCAGGTAGAGACTGGCCCTGATGTAGCTCGGGTAGATAGATATCGATTCTCTTCTGGATTCACAAGCTGGCCTCTTTGGTGCTCAACTCAACTACCTCGAGGTAGGTACTGCTAAGTTGATAGGTGGTGGACAGGGGAGCTGAGACGGCACGTGACTTGTCTGTAGTCTTGACCTTGAGAGAAGTAAGGTAGCGCCTACCTTAGGTAGGTAGGCAGTCAAGCAGGTATGCAAGCAGGTACCTCTTCTCGGCATGAAGACCTCTGATGACCGGGAGCTCCTCCACTTATCGGAGGGTGACGCCCTGAGAGAGAGGCATCTTCGCAGTACCTACCTAGTAGACTAGGTAGGTCCTTAAGCACTTAGTGTTGGGCCAGCACCCCAAATGCCCTTCCATGCCTGCCCCGCTACTATCGTGCCCGCCTGAGGTCCGACACGAATACCTTGTCACAGGCGATTTCCCTAAGGCAGGCAAGCCTGACCTACGAACACGCTAAACCCAGCCTAGACACCCCCACTAAGGTAAGATACCTAGGTCGCCTTATGTAATGATATGGTTACCCGGCAACGATACCAAACAATATTACCTTGGCCATCTATTCATCAATCGACCGACCCGTCGCCCGAACACAGCTATTGACGCCAACGTGGCTCTCAACCTACTCCGGCCTTCCAACGCGAAAAAGCCAGAAACACTGCTTTTAGATTGTGCGCAAAGAGACCCAAGGGCTCTTCATGAACCTCAAGATACATTGTTTTACTGTTCAGTAGCCCGAGGCGACCGCACGCAACACCTATCCCGAGTCTTTTCCTCATTCAAAGGCTTTGACGCACTCGTAGGCATCATGCCTACATCGACGGCAGATGGGCCAAGTGTGGCTTTGTCATGTATGTTACAATTCTGTGTGTCTGCAGCAAAGCAGGAGCTGACCGACCCGATGTGCAGTCGCGAACAACTTCTGGGGAAAGGAAGATGCTGGTGTAGGTCCTTTGCTGGATCGCATGCTTGCTGCGAAACAAACATGCGATGAATTGAAAGCTTTCTACAGCGGCAAGTAACACGACTGGATATGTTATAGCCGAGATCTAATATCCAGTACAGCTCGCGCATCTATCGAAGATGAATACTCCCGGAAGCTCCTCTCTTTGTGTCGAAAATCATTGGGATCCCATGAGTCAGGAAGTCTAAAGATTTCCCTCGACACTGTTCGAGGCGAGGTCGAATCGATGGCGAAGCAACATCAGAACATCGCAGCGCAAATGAAGACAGAATTGGAAGAGCCTCTTGCCGCTTTCGCGGGGGGTATGAAGGAGAGAAGGAAGATCGTGCAGAATGGGATTGAAAAAATTCTCAAGACGAAGATACAACAAACACAGCACGTCAACAAGGTCGGTCCTAATGATGTCTCCAAATCCGAATCGGCCCATGAGTCTTCCGGATTGAGTCTCGACGAGCCATGTACTGACCAAGACAATAGACGCGGGATCGATTCGAGCAGGAGTGCCTCAAGATCAAGGGCTACCTTGCCCAGGGCCACATGGTTATGGGCCAAGAGGAGCGAAAGAACAAGGCCAAGCTAGAGAAGACACAGATCAGCGTTGCGACGTCCAATACCGAGTACGAGAATGCTGTGAAGGCACTTGAGGACACGACAGTGAGGTGGAACCGAGAGTGGAAGGCGGCTGCGGACAAGTTCCAAGACTTGGAGGAAGAGCGTCTCGACTTCACAAAGAGTAGCCTGTGGACGTTCGCCAACATTTCATCCACTGTCTGCGTCAGTGATGATGCTTCTTGCGAAAAGATCCGTTTATCACTGGAAACGATGGACGTTGAAACGGATATCATCAGCTTCATCAAAGAACAAGGGACGGGCCAAGAGATCCCAGATCCGCCAAAGTACATTAATTTCTGTCGAGGAGATGTCAACGACACGCAATCGGAAACGTCGGACGACGACAGCTACTCCGTTGCCCAATTCCCAAGGAGTATAAACCCGGCTTTCAGATCGTCTTCACCGCAACCCTCGACATATGAATCACACCACGACCCCAATTCAAGTCTTGCCCAGGACCTAGGACACAAAGATCCACCTTCTGCTACTCCCAGGACCGTCGTTGCCCCCGATTCAAGGCGTCAAGATGCAAGCCCTTCTGCGTCTAGACACCTCGCTCATGATACATCATCAAAGGATGTCAGCTCCTCTTCAAGAGGATTTGGATTGGATTCGGGCCACATGGACGCAAGTCCAACCACAAGGAGCTATCTTCAAGACACGGGTCGTCGGGAAATCCTACCCCCTAACGCTCGCGAAGCGCCAGTTGCCGCACAGAGACCTTTGGACAAATTACGGCAGGCAGCCCCAGTTGCTCACCCCCCGGCCCAACAGCAGCAGCAACCAAGTCGACCTTCTCTTGACATGAGCCAGCGTGGATCATTTGCGCCAGTCCCTCATGATCCGTACCCTCTCGACGGCATGACAATGCTTTGCCGTACTGGCCCACCCTCGGAGCGTAGCTCGCATCCGCCCTCAGCTAGGCCTTCGAGCCGTGATTCCCTCAGCGATTACTCGAACCCAACCTCGCTTTCAAGCCAAGAACCAGCGAGCGGTAAAGTATCGCCCGTTAAGCAGGAACCAGTCAGTGTGGCACCGGTCTCGGATAAACAAGTCCTCAAGAAACGGAGCGGCTTCTTCCAAAATCATAGCCCATTCCGTCGCAAGAGCACAAAGGAATCACCAGGTCCGCCAGCGAATAGAAATACCTGGCACCCAGTGACATCTCAAGGAAGTCCGGCTCGAAGACCCCAGTTGCAGACTCAGGAGACATCAGACCTGCTAGGAGACAGATCAACCATGAGCCCAGAGCCAATCGATGCAAATGCTAGTCTCGCACTGAATGTTGGGCAGAATGTTTTCTCCGTCACAACTCCAGACCTGGAGAAGAGGAAGGGATCCAGTGTTCTGGCCGCTCAGCCTGAGACGGACCCAATTGCCCTGGCCCTGGCCGAGCTCAAGGGCGTCGGCGTAGGCAAGCAGTCCAGCGTGCGCGTTTCCGCAGACCGCTATCACGGCATCGCTACTCCGACGCCCGGTTCCCAGCCATTCTCCAGGTCGGTTCCAGCGGTAGGGAGCAGCAATGCAACGGCCGGGGGACTTCGAGGCACGCCGCCTCCCTATGATCAGCAAGTCGTGCAGAGACTCGGAGTGCCGCCCCAGGCGGTGACAGCAAAGGCCATGAAAGAGACATCAGCCAAATTCACCGACCAGACCCGTAGCATGTTTAACCCGGCCAACCGCCCTGGGTCAAGCTACGGTGGAACGGCCAGCTCACGGCCAATGACACGAGGTAGCGACGTTCCTCGAGCAGCGTCACCCGCCCCCCTCCGAAGCGCTTCCCCGAGAACAGCACCGATGGAGGACATGCGAAGCGGCTACAGAAGCGCCCCGCGCACTGCTTCACCGAGAGCTGGACCAGCCGAGGATACTCGGGGTGGATACCGATCAGCGTCTCCTAATCCGCAAGGTTCTCTGGGACGAGGCTCATCACGAATGAGCAATATGCCGAGAAGGGGATCAGAACAGCCTTACTACCAGCAGAAGCCACCCAGCACAATGTCAAGAGCGGCGTCTCCAGCTCCTTACTTGGAGAAGATGAGGCCAGGCAGCAGCCATGTCGCCAATGAATTAGCTGTCCAACTCGCGCCTGTAGGTGATGAGGGCTATGGATCAGTCCGGGATCGTGGTGGGAGTCGCCCTGGAACAAGCTCCAGCAATCGGGCCATGGGACTCTACGAAGGGGGCGGACCACCGGGACAAGGCGAGTCGAGACAGCGTAGCAAGAGCGTGGCAGACCCATCTCGGCAATATACTCGAGATGGCCGGCCCATTTTGCATTTTGGTAAGTGCTGGCTATACAAGAAGAAGAAGATAATGCTAATTAGCCTGCAGCAAGGGCTTTGTACGTTTACCAGGCGGCTATTCCAGAAGAATTAGGGTTTTCCAAGGGGGACCTTCTTGCCGTCCTGCGTCACCAAGATGACGGGTGGTGGGAAGCTGAAATTCACGGGAGCAATGGACGCATGGGGCTGGTCCCAAGCAATTATCTTCAGCCGTGTTAGAGAAGTTGGGTTTTTCAGGGAGCAGAGGGGGGCCACGAATGGCTGAGTTGACGAACATTCATGACATGAGCGAGAATCTCGGGAGTATTACTAGAGCTTTGATGTGTAGTTTTAGGATGTGCCTTGTCGCGGTTTGGAGTTTCGGTTTTCGATGATGCTGTTTACCTGCGCCTGGCTAAGATTGTTGGTCCTTTCCACGGACAGATCAGGCACTTAATGACAGTGAGCAATACGTTTGTACTTGCGCTATAATTGGGCCTTCTTGATCTCGCAGATTGAACTTGATGAAGATTAGGGTAAATCAAGGAAGTGAAGGTGCGGTATCCTTGGGATAATAGGTACGGATACGTGCACCAATGAAAGAATGATTGCTTGTCGCCGTCGAGTGCCTGTAGGTCGGCGCAAAGTGTGAGCAAGCCGAATTGGGTCTGTCCACACCTTTAGTGTTTTCTGCGCGCGCGGTTGCTTAGAAAGTGAGTGGATCCCATTGCGTGCTGACCAACAAAAGTGGCATCCGCGAAACAGCGCAACACCGACTTGGACGTCAATCACGAGGTTGTGTTACCTGACATATGTATATAAGTTGAATGAGTATGCTGTTCTTATCTCGATTTCACGAAGACCCAGTCCACTAACTTCCGGTTTTCGTTGTATTCAAAACTAGACGTCTTTACCTGGTAAGACGCTGCGTACCTTCATCAGAGGAGACAGAGTTGCAATGGCCGCCAATACTCCGCTCTATACCTACATCTCCCCTAGCGAGGGGTACGAGAGTGCCCCCCCGCTGCCGGCTGAGCTCAACGAAGATGGCAAAAGCTTCAGGAACCCATCGCGAGAGGGGTTGAGCAAGACGTACGAGGAGTTTCCAGCTCCCCTAGACACCGGGAGGCAGGGTGGCTTGTAAGCGACCCGACATTGCAATGTACCTACCTAAGGTACCTTAAGGTACCTACCTTCGCGCTTGCAGTGCTAACCTACGGTACGCACGGCAGTGACGTCCACATCTACCATTTTCAAAGCAACCCAGAACAAGTGAAGCATGCGAGAGACCTTTGGGAACGCATTCGGAGGGAATGTAAGTGACTACAACGACTCCGGCTTGAGAGAAAGGTATGACTGATGTTTGCTTCGCCGTCCAGTCCCAGAGCTGAGAATCTACCGATTCTGGGAAAAGCCCATCGGCCCCCACCCCGTGGCCATGTTTGAAGTCAATATCTTCACGCCAGCACAGTTTGGTGCATTCATACCATGGTTGACTATATATCGAGGTCCTCTTCCCGTTCTTATTCATCCCAACACAGTCGAGGAAGGCGTTGACCACAATGTCACGGAGCTCCGCAATCACACACAAAGAGCTACGTGGATGGGCGAAAGGTTGCCTCTGGACACCACTATTTTCTACCGCAGTAAAAACTAGCCGCGCAGCAAGGATTGCGTATAGTAGTAACTACTTAATTTTCATGTCATTTCGTTTTACTTCCCTTGTTCCATGTATTATCTCGTCAACTGACCCTGAACCTTCAAGACGGCACAGAGGTATTGAGAAATTAGGACGGTTGATAGGTGGGCAACGGTCCGAGGTCACGTGGCTCTGGGTGCCCCGGCGTTTTGATCTCACCCCTGCTGCCTGCGGGATGCTGCTACAGTTGCGATGACGTCATACCATCTGGTTTGTCAGCGGCGAAGTTGTTCGATTCACTCTGCCTGTCTTACCTTGAGGTATGCCAACTATACCTATCGATACCTTCCCCTATCTACTTCATTTATATACCTTACCTAGTCTTCAACCCAAGTACTTGCCCTGCCGCAAGGTACCTACGGGAGGTGCCTACGGACACCCTACTACCTTGCGTGCTTGCCTAACGACGAAGTACCTAGTTGTGGAAGGTGTCTAAGGTCGGCGAGAATATATCTAATCACAGGTTACCTTATTCACTGCAACCATTCTCTGTAGCAGAAAACCTAATTTCAACAACCTACCTTTGCCTACGTCGCGTCTTCTTGCCCCGCCTGCCCCTGCGTCCATTACCTATGGGTTTCCCAGCCTGATATAAACATCCACTCCAACCAGAGTCACAATGGCGGGCCGGAAACGAACCAGGGCTACCCGGCTCAGGGCCGCAAAGTCCGACGTACCGGATGTCTATCAAGAAATGCTGATGGAAGCTGCTGCGGACGCCGGCTCTTCAGCATTCTCTGAGCCCCCAGCTAAAAGACTCAAGCGACCTGGGGAGGGGAAAGCAGAGGCCGTGAAGTCACAGTCGACAGAACAGGGAGGATCTGGGGAGGACGACGAAGACGCAGACATTGAATTCGAAGACGTGGTTTTGCCTCCGGCGACCGTCCAGACCATGTACAGAGATTCTGACGACGAAGAGGATGATCTTGATGATGACGAAGAAGAAGAAGAAGAAGAAGTCGGAAATGAGGAAGCTAGCAATTTCGACAATGTTGCCTATGGAGCCATACATCATTTTCATGAGACTCAGGAAGAACTCCAAACACTAACTCTCAATCTATCAAAGCATGCCAATGCGACGACAGTCACAAGGAAAGGGGTCAACAAACGAAAGCCAGTGACAAAGGAAGAGAAGCAGCGGCGCATCACGATACACCAGACTCATCTGCTGTGTCTCCTGCTACACTGTGCCCTCAGAAATCGTTGGTGTGACGATGAACAGGTTCACAAAACCTTGCGTCCTCTGCTGTCGAAAAAAACTATTGGCTACTTGACACCAAGCCCTCGTCTTCCCCAGTTTGGACAAACGGAGTCTCTAAAGAGCGGCCTTGAACAGGCTGGAGCCATATTCAGATCCAAATTTCAAATAACTGAACGGGGCCTGCGTCGACCACTATGGGCTGAAGATCCTGACCATCTGAACAACGTGAGTCTGTGGCAGGGTATCGTATTTGAAGCAACATGCTAACCCCCCTTGCTTTAGTATGAGCCACCTAGCAACATGGATTCATGCCTAGACCGTTCAGACTTCAGAGACGCAGCGAGAAAGCTGTCAGGGTCTCGGGATACCGGCGCGCAGTTGTACTGTGCTTTGCTGAGGGCCATAGGAGTTCGTGCGCGATTGGTCTGTTCATTGCAGCCGCTGTCTTTTGGTTCAGCCGGTCCCTCTCTGCCAAGACCTAGGGATGCAAAGCCCTCGAAGAAGCCTACCAAGGAGGAGAGAATAAGGTCCCAGTTGCTACAATACAAGTCAGCTGCCGAGGAACCTTCGTCTTCTGCCTCCGTCCTAACTTCACCGCTCCACCGATTGGGTCACCCGAATGCCGCTGCCTATAAGCTGCCAACGGCATCGACTTCGCCGACCCTGTGGCGACAGGTTGAGGCTCCCATGAAGATTCGCGAGTCGAGCTTCCCGGTGTACTGGGTGGAAGTGCTAGACACGGGCCATCAGAAGTGGCAACCCGTAGACCCTCTGGTAACAAACTCCATGTGGAAACCCAGACAGCTGGAACCCCCGGCAACCGACAAGGAGAACTCTCTGACATATGTCATTGCTTTCGATACTGATGGCACAGTTCGAGATGTCACGAGGCGATATGCCAAGGCATACACGGCCAAGACACGTCGTCTGCGCATTGAGACAGTGATGGAACGTGGCGAGGGTTGGTGGCGGAAAGCATTGAAGCCGTTCAGCCGGCGTCGGCTGACCGATCTTGACCAAATCGAAAACACCGAGCTGAATGCGATTGAAGCGCGCGAACCGATGCCGCGAAATGTGGCAGACTTTAAAGACCATCCAGTGTTTGCGTTAGAGAGGCACCTGAGGCGCAACGAAGTCTTTATGCCAGACGCGCAACCGGCAGGAACGGTAGCAGCAGGTAGCAGGGCTCCACTGGAAAAAGTATATCGACGTAAGGACGTTCGAATTGCCCGGAGCAGGGACAAATGGTATCGCATGGGGCGCGAAGTCAAACCGATGGAGGTTCCAATCAAGTTTCTGCCGCGAAGGTCCAATGCGAAACCGGGCGCGTACGCCGACGACGGTTATGGTGGAGACGAACGTGATGCCGCAGGAATGCCGGTCTTCACGCAGGATCAGACGGATATTTACCGCGCATCACCGGTCGTCAATGGGCGAGTTCCAAAGAACAAATTTGGTAACATCGACGTATACGTGGAAAGCATGGTGCCCGAGGGAGGGGTCCACATCCGTGACGAGTTCGACACAGCTGCCAGAGCCGCCTACGTTCTGGGGGTCGACTACGCGCCAGCTCTGTCAGGGTTTCAATTCAAGGGCAAACATGGGACTGCAGTATTCAACGGCGTCGTGGTTGCGAAGGAGCATGAGGAAGCTGTGCGTGCAGTGATGACTGGGTTCGAGGATGTAGACGCACAGGAAGAGCAAAGCAAGCGATCCTTGGTCGCCATCCGGACTTGGAGGCGATTTCTTGTGGCACTCCGAATCTTTGAACGCGTGTGGGCAGGCGTCGAACCTGAGGAGCGGGCCGAGGAAGAAAGAAAGCTGACCGAATTCGTCCGGACCGATATGGATAAGGGGTCGGACGGCTACGGTACAGAGGAAGGCGGAGGTTTCCTCATTGAAGACAGCGTCATGATTGACGACGCTGCGCAAACACCAACCAGTGCGGGACTCACAAGCAGGGCCGATGTAAGGGAGAGCACACACGGCTCTGATTTAAAGAGAGGTATTCGTTCTGTTGCCCACAATGAGGACATGGGTGAGGGTGCAGCAGATGATGGGGTGGAGGCTGACGGGTGCGGTTTCCTGGTTGATACTGATGAGGGGTCTGATAACATCGATGCAGTTGAGAGAACTGCTGGGGTCCAGGCAAGACCTGAGATTCAAAGGAAGGAAAGTCTTGGGGCAGAAGAGGACAACGAGGTTGAAGTTGTGCTGAGCGATGTTACTGAGGAATACGATATGGAGGAAGACGAGGACGGCGGAGGATTCCTGGTGGATTAGGAATAGGATTGATGGATGGGCCGAAAGATTTTGATACGCTGCAGAAAGCCGAATTTGGCTATTGAGACATGAATCACTTTCCTGCTGCGTCCAGAGTAACTTGGAGATGGAAGTCAGGATACCTGTCTGGATATCACATCGAGGACGGGTTGATGTCATTACAAATATGTCCCCGGGAGAGAGAGGGGGGGGGGGAGTTCTTTTTTCTATTTTGTGTGGCGTTCCCTTGTTAAATTTCTTTACTGAAGTATGGGGAACAGGGTCGGATCATCGTATAGTTAGCTATTACTCCCTATTAAGTACGTACGCATGTGCTGACGCTAACTCGCACTCGATGGGATACCTTTCTTCGCAGGTTGACAGCCTACCACCTTAGCTAAGTACTACTCATCATACCTTATCCGTAATTACCTTAATTTGTGTATGGTTTCGTGGAGATCTGGAGGGACTCTTGTCAAGAGGTCGAGCCAGCGAGGTGGCCCAAGCTCCTCGATGACGCACGGACGGATAGAAACAGCTATGTATTTTCAACGGTGGTGGATGGCGGATTTGGTACCACCTTCTGTACTCCGTACCAACCTTACGTACCTTACCTTGCTAGACCTTCCACCCGTCCCCAGTGGTTTCCCGGCATCTCCAGAAAAAAATTCTTACAGTCAAGCGCGTCGGGCCCATGCGAGACGCAGAGTGCCTACGTCCCCGGTCCCGAATAAACCCTGACGAACCAGGAAAGCCCGCCCTGTGCTGACTGAGAATCCCCAAGGTCAAAACTCCAGCGCAACCCGGATCAATCAACGCCTTTCCAACCTCCATCGGCTGCCTGGTTCTTCCTATTCCGTCCACCAGATCGCCTGCTTAGCAGATCCATCACGAAAGCCCGCGTCGGACTATCTTTTGAAAGAGAGAGCAGAGGTCAGTCAGCCCGATTCATTATTTCCCCTCAACCCCCACGCGCTTTATTACTCGAGTGGCCTGCTGCTGTTGCGGCGGCACTGCTGCGATGAATCAAAACCCTCGCGGATGCCGTCATCGTCGCACTATTGCGATTGACGATGGTTACAGAACTGCTCGCATCACAGCTGACTTCCGCGACCTGCCCCTACCTGGAGCTTGTCGCGCGAATGGATGGAAGCTACCATTCCCAATTGTCGCGTCGCAACGAGGAAGACGAGAGAAAAAACTTTACAAAACCCTAGAGAGTACAGATACTAAACTCATGGTTTTTTAAAACAGTGCATTGAAGCCCGCCTCGAGCTCGAGGACTCACCGCTTGGTCGTGCAACCCAATCGCGACGCGCTCCTGTGCATGCACGAACTCGCACTACACATTTCCGTTGACGCGCCTTCTTCTCGTCGCGAAGAGCCTTCGACTTCCTACGTTTACCTCCTGCTTCCCGTCGCGTAACGAGTCCTGATTTCATTTTGACGCTATCCACTCGTCAACCTTTCGTCATCTTTCCAGCTGATGCTCAATTGTACACCCGGAAACCCTGAATAATTGCCCCAATTGTGTGTCTCGCGCCGCAGTGTCGCGATACGAAATCGATAGTGGTCGGCTTCACATAGACCGCCCATGACATCTCTCGCCATGACTTCGACGCATGAAGGCGAGACGACCGAGGAAGAGAGATTAAAGGTGGAGGATCTCCAAGAGAGCAAACTAGAAGATGACAGCAGAATGCATGTAGTCGGCCTGCGGGAGGACCGACTACAAGAGGACGACATCCAGGTAGACGGCATGAACGACGACCGCACACAAGAAGAGAGACTCCACGACGCGTCGGTGGATGAGCGACCGGAGCACGAGAGGCTGGAGCACGAGAGGCTGGAACACGAGAGACTGGAGAGCGAGAGACTGGAGAGCGAGAGAATGGACGAGGAGCGCATCCCGAGTTATCCATCTCCCTTGCCAGAGGAGCGACTCCAAGAAGCCGATCGAATGCAAAGCTATCCTTCGCCATCGGCCGAAGCTCAAGACAGCGGCCCTTATTATCACCCGGCTACACGGGACGATGATCCCCAAGACCAGCAACAGCCGCCGCCCACGCCACAACAGCCATCGTCACATTCTGCCAGTGTGGAAGAACTGCAGTTAGCTGCTCAGCTTGGCCAGGATCTTGCAGCAGAGCCCATGATGCATGTCACAGATCCAGGCATGAACGTTGAGGACCCGAGTCTTCGGAGCATCATGCCCAATCCTCATTCCCATTCTCATTCGGAGCAGCCTCAACCCCAACAGCAACAGACACAGGCACAGGTCCCGATACCAGCCCAGACACAAACACAGACGCAGACGCAGACACAGGCTCAAACACAGGCCCAACAGCACCAGCACCAGCACCAGCATCCTCCTCACCAACATCCTCACCAGCACCCTCATCAGCCTCCTCCCCTCCCACCTGCCTCTCGTTCTTACGTGCCCGAGGAATCATTGCCAGAGTCTCTTCAGCAACATATGCCCATGCCCATGCCCATGGACCACCATCATCTTGCTCAACCATATGCCCTGGGTGACAGCACTCCGCCTAGGAAACGGTCAAAGGTGTCTCGCGCATGTGATGAGTGCCGGAGAAAGAAGGTCAAATGTGATGCCCAGTCAGATGCTGGAGACAGCCCATGCTCCAACTGCAAGCGGTCTGGTATCCGTTGCATGTTCAGCCGTGTTCCTCAGAAGCGCGGTCCAAGCAAGGGGTAAGTTGAGAATGGCGCTCGCTTCCTGTATCTACAAGATTCACAGACTGACATAATTCCTTAGATACATCAAAGAACTTGCCGACAGGATCAACAGCATTGAGGGCAAGTTGGAGATCCAAAGTGAGTCATTGCCACCCGAGTCAATGGTAAACTGGACCTCTGCGGCAGCAATGCTTAACTCCATGTCAGGCCCTGGTGAGGACACCAGCCGGAAACGACCATTCTCCAGCATCTCCAGCACCGATATCTCTACCCCAGCACCACAGAGACAGGTCGCCTGGGGCACCGAGCCTCGCCCTCTTCAGCCTATAACAACACCGTCTGATCGTTATCAGACGTCTCCTTTCGCCACCAATGGCTTGGCACCCCAGCCTATGGCTTTACCCATTAAGAATGACATGCAGCCAAGGCCTCCTATTGCGTCAATGGATGGCCCTGTGGCTGACATGCCTGATATCGATCAGGCGCGGGATGTGGACGAAGAGGTTTTCAATGGGTATGTGGTCAACTTTTCTTTGCTTTTTGAAAGTTGCGACTAATGCAGAACTCTTAGCTACCTGACCATGATCCATCCTTACTTTCCATTCCTGCCGAGCAGCAGGGTACTGATACAAGAATACTTGGCTCAGTGCCCCGGCCTTCTGCGGGAAGCGTTTGTGGAGGCTCTCTCGGGAACCGTTCACTCATTTCCTTCCTTCCAGTCAGGCACCCCTGGAGACGTCCGTCTCGCCCACACGCTATTAGTAGAATGGGAGGCTAGCGATTCTACCTCTCGAACTGCTGTAGCAAACCTTGTTTTCCTCCAGACACTTCTCCTCATGATTATTGAGGCTGACATTCGACCACTGGGCTCCATCGGCGCACCCAAGGAATCCTTACTAGGTAGGGCGGTAGCGAGCGCGAATACCCTGAAGCTATACCAGGCCAAGGCAGATCTTTCTGAGGCTGAAGCTGGCCCAGATAACGAAAGCCAGCTTCGTGTCAGGATTTGGTGGTCGTTGGTCTTGCTCGACCGATGGAATGCTGTGGGTGCTGCGGTGCCTTCCTTGATCCGAGATGAAAGTGTGGTTCTGGCACCTGGCCTCAAGGCGGTCATCGGCGAAGTGCCGTACCTGCTGATCCGTAAGTGTCCCCCCCCCCCCCCCCCTTTTTTTTTTGGAAGAAGAAGAAGAAGAAGAAGAAGAAGAAAAAGATTATTCCCATGTAAACGAGTGAGAGTACTTCAGGGTACTGACTATATGGCAGGTGCATCCAAGTTTCTCAGCCGTGCATCATCCATGATTACCAACTTCCAAGAGCCACTCAATACAACCTTTGCGGACCGCATGGTGGGCTCTTTTATGGATGCGTGGGTAGAAGACTTTCGTGAGGATCTGCCTGCCCACATCGAGCCCAACATTTATCCTGTTGTTCACCTGGTCTATTGGCACTGCCGCTTGTTGGCGTATCTTCTCAACCCATCTGCCAAGTCGACCGACGTCTTGTGGCCCAGTCAAGAGTTAGTCAACCTCCTGGTTGGCCATTCGCAGCTCATCACGCCCTTGCACCACCATTTCACAGTTCTTGCGGTGCTCACATTAGTCGAGCTTGCAAAGTTGGATAAAACAAAGGAAGAGGCCACAAGGCTTCTTGGTGAATTCCGAGATTCTTCACTACCAGCTTCCGTCTTCGATGGACTGGTTCGGGACAAGATTGCTGATCACCTTCGCCTCTCCAATAACACTGCTGCAGCTCCAGCTCCATCTGCTATGGAGGCAGCTGCGAGCCAGGGGTTGCAGCATCTGGCCGATTTGGCAACTCTCTCATCAGCGGCTGTGGAAAAAACAGAGGAAGCACCCACCTACCGAACTGCGCCCAGCTACGAAGACATGGGCTTCGACCCTCGCCCGTTACTGCTTATCGGTTATCTCAATGTTGTCCGCGCAACTCAACAAGCAGCCTAGGAATCTTTTCATCTTGCGCAGGTCGAACAGCAGCGGCAGCAGCGGCAACGGCATGAACAGCAGCAGCTAGCGCAGCGAACGACAGATTGTCAGCAGCCACAGAAGATGGGGAGTGCCGCGGAGCCACAGCAGATACTGCATCATCCACAATATGGAGGGGAAGTACTGCAGGTGCAGGGACTACCGCTGCTGCTGGAACAACAGCAACTACTGCAACTGGAGCATCAAGTTACCGAGCAGCGTAGTGACAAACAGGCATATGCCCGCAATCCTGAGAACACGGGCTTTCTGGGACACTCAGAAGTGACTGGCAAAAAGCACTACTGGTACTATTGAAGATGTTGACAGCAACAGTGGTCGAGT